TATATATTCATGACTACTTAGCATCTATTCTTTTAAAATAATAAAGAATCATAAACTGCGTCACATATTTTAAAATGTTGAAATTTTACTATACCCCCCCTTTAGTAAAATTAATAAAATATATTACATATCTTATATTATGACACATATTAGTAAATTAAAGAAACTCATATACAATTCTTTGAAATACTATGTTGTCCCACTATTATCATGATTTTCAGGCTAAATTCTAAGAGAAAATTCTCTCCGTGTAATAAAAAATTGTTATTAAAGTTTAATACGTACTTAATGCTTTCAGTTAAAACAATCAAATAAATTGATACAATTAGAACAGTACTGATTTTTAAAATCGTTAATAAAAGACATGATAGAAAATTAAGCTTTTTTCTCTATAATTACTGCTATTTAATGCTCGTAATAATTAAAATCGACTATTGCATAAATTAAAAATTAACCCTTGACTATTCATAAAAAGAACGATTAATTTTGCTTTGTTGGATCATCAAAATAATTACAGTGAGTGCAAAAAGTATTTGTACAAAGAAAATATTTTTTAAAAAAACTTTATTTTTAAAAAGTAAATATTATCCAACGAGAAATGAGTCATCTAATTGATGTCAAATCGATATAAATACGATGATTTCAATATCAATTTAACGTCGATTCGACGTTTAATTGACGATCATTTCTTGTTGGATAATTAACAATTTATTCATAAAGAATAAAATAGATTGTATGTTTCTTGAAATTATATATACCAAAAAGATGTGTATTAATTATATAAAATATATCATCTGAAAAATAAGTAAAAATTAAAAATTGTATTGTTTGAATGCTCAAAAAGTATTCGTACAGACGAGAAATTTAGCTTCTAATATCAGGAATACATGCGAAGCTCGTTTGTTTATGTTAGAACAGAATAGTGCTCGGAAATATTAGACGATTTTACAGTTCGAACAGTTCGAATCTCAAGTTCGAACTATTTTAAATAGTTCGGACTGAATGTATGTTCGAACTATTTTAATCCACTTTAGAGCTGAAAGTTCGAATTTATTACATTTCGAACTCAGACATCACAAGTCTTGATCAACCTGAATTTGTCCAAGATGGCTCAGAATATTTGTAGGACGATATCAATAAATATATGAATTTTATTTAAATATGCACATTCAATTACATTTATATATATATATATATAT